TGAGTCTCCTTCAGGAGAGATAAAGTAGGGTATAAATAAATATAATAATGGGATTCCACGCAGAACTGAATAGTCACCTGAATTTTGGAACCTGAACCTCAACTGTCCTCTTTGCTTGTCGTCTTGTGAGTCTCCTTCGGGAGAGACAAATCAGAGTGTAAATCAATATAATAATAATAATAATAATAATAATAATAATAATAATAATAATAATGAGCAATATTCTCCCTGATACCGTTAAGCCTTATTTTCCCGTGGGGTCGAGTGGCTGTCTGCTGGGAGGGATCGAATGGTGATGGATTCTTCTCCACTCTCGCATTCAATGTTTTTATTTATTTATTTATTTATTTCAGAGTTTTATATACCGACCTTCTCACCTCTTTTGAGGGACTCAGACCGATTTCCAACCATAAAAACACATACAATCAGTAAAAACATCATAGTTCATATTACAATAACACATTAAAACAACAAATATATCCAAAACTACAGTGATCAGTCATCATACTAAAAAACAATTATACATCATCTTCTATCCATGTCTTAGGGTGTTGTGTCACTCATCAAAAGCCTGTCTCCATAACCATGTCTTCACCTGTTTCCTAAAAGTCAGGATAGATATTTCCCTATTTCTCTCTGCGAACCTCCCAATGTCCGTGAGGTTGGGTGGCCATCTGCCAGGAGGGATCGAATGGGGTTGGATCCTTCTCCACTCTCACATTCGATGATTCGATGGCCTTATTTCTCTCTACGAATCTTCTAATGCCTGTGGGGCTGGACGGCCATCTGTCAGGAGGAATCAAATGATTTCAGATCCTTCTCTACTCTCGCATCTGATGATTCTATGGCCGTATTTCTCTCTGTGAACCTTCAAACGTCCGTGAGGTTGGGTGGCCATTGGTCGGGAGGGATCATATAGTGTTGTGGCAGCATGGGGCTAGTCTGGATGGCCTTTGAAGGGTCTCTTTAGGATTCCTCTCTAATGTGCTTTCCTTTGTCTCTAGGGCCTGTCTGATACCTAGATGAAGAGGAAAAAGGAACGGACGTGACGGACGGGAAAACCGACGGAGGAGGTGGCGCCCCATTGGCCGTGAAGTGAGACGTGCTGGGGTTTATTTGGAATATTTGGGAGAAAAGAACCTTCGAGGTTCTCGAAAGCGAGGCAGAACGAGAGAGAGTACTGGGCCACCACGGCGCTAAGCCCTGCCCCTCCCAGCCCAGGGTCCTCCCCTTTGGGGCATCCCCTTGCCCCTTTGGCTCACTTGCCACCGCTGTTGCCCCCTGCTGGCCGGGCCATGAAGTTGCAGGCGGTGATGGAGAACCTCCAGCGGCAGCAACAGGCCCGGCTGCAGCAGGAGATGGAGGCGCGGCAACAACAAGCCATGGCAGCCGCAACGGCAACATCAACAGAAGACCCCCCTCGAGGCAGGATGGACACCGCAGAGCCTGAGAGTGCCAGGATGCAGCGGGCGCAGATGGAAGCCTTGGCGGCCATGCGGGCGGCGGCGGCCGGACTCGGACACTCGCCGCTTGCGGAGGGTGGCGGCCGTTCATCATCATTGTCGTCGGAAACCGAAGGAAGGGAGGAAGGAGAGGATGAGGAGACTGAGTATCCGCCAGGAATGGGCTCCGAAGAAGAAGAGGCGATGCTGTGAGTGGCACCTTCGGGAATGTTTCTTCCTTGTGTTTCTTAGGAATTTCTAGGTCTTCCAGTGCAACTCTGTGGTTACCCTTTTCCTGCTATTTGCCCATCGAGCTGCACTAGAGGACTGGGAAATGGCCAGAGGGATCTTCCCTATGGAGAGTGCTAGGCCTTGCAATGCCGCCCCTGAATTCAGCAACTATTTGGCTTCTTTATGAGCTTTCCCTTTGATTGTTCTCGAGAGACAATAAAACGCAGGAGCCCAACCGGCCTGGCAGGTTTTTTGGGTTGGAAAAGCCAGCGGCTGCTTTCGGTGATCTGCATTCCACCCCGAAATGTTTTCCATGCAGTGAACAGTTTCCTTTTTGAGGGTTAGTTATCTGTCTATATAGAAAAGTCACTTGTCCTATTGTACTACAAAAGCTGTTACTAAGTAGAGTGGCCCTCTGTGGCGTCGCTGGGAAAGGAAGGAGGGAAGAAGAAAGGAAGGAACAAGAAAAAGAAGGAAAGAAAGGAAGAGAGAAGGAGGGGGAGGAAGAAAAAGGAGGGAAAGAAGAGAAATAAAGCAGGGAACTTGTTGTTATTATTATTATTAGTATTATTATTTCAGACAGATAAGAGGAGAGGGAGAGAGATTTGCCCTTATAGGATTGCCATATTTCCTACAATCAATCCATTTAGCTGCTAGTAATTTCCAGTAGCTGGCTGGCTGGCTGGCTGGATGGATGGATGAATAGATAGATAGATAGATAGATAGATAGATAGATAGATAGATAGATAGATAGATAGATAGATAGATGAATACTGGAACTCCCTTCTTCCCAGGGAAGTCAGAATGACCCCCTCCCTGTTGTCCTTCCTTCCGGTGGCAGGTTGAAACCTTTTCATTCAGGCAGGCTTTTAAAGAAGAATGTTTTTAAGATTGTCAGAAGTTGCTGTGTTTTTATAGGCTTTTAATGATGTTTAGTACTGTTTTAATACTTTTATATATTTTAAGTTGTATTACAATTCTTTTGGTTGTCAGCCGCTTTGAGTCTCCTCCATATGGAGAGAAAAAGCAGGATATAAACAAACATAATAATAATGATAGATAGATAGATAGATAGATAGATAGATAGATAGATAGATAGATAGATAGATAGACAGACAGACAGTCAGACAGACAGACAGACAGACAGACAGACAGATGAATAGGTAGATAGATACATAGATGAATAGATAGATAGATAGATAGATAGATGGATGGATGGATGGATGGATGGATGGATGGATGGATGGATGGATGGATGGATGGATGGATGGTTGGATGGATGCATATATCAATAGACAAATGGATGAACAGACGAATAGATAGATAGATAGATAGATAGAGAGAGAGAGAGAGAGATAGGCGGATGGATGGATGGACATATGAATGGATAGAGTGCCGGATGGATGGATAAATAGACAGATGGATACATAGATAGACAGATAGATGAATAGATGGACAGATGGATGGATGGACAGATGTATGGATAGATAAATAGTTGAATGGATGGATAGATAGACGGATGGATATATGAATGGATAGGGTAACAGACAAACAGACAAATAGATGGATAAGTTGACAGACAGACGGATAGATGAATGGATGGATAGATGGATAGAATGATAGAGAGCTAGAGAGATATTTTCCCCAGTAATATGACCCCTCCCTTTTCCCTCCAAGCAATTTCCAGCTAATAGAAAGATAGGTATTTCCCTTGTATTTGGTGGGGGAGCCCCATTGGGGGCCAGATCCGGGACCCTCATGTTGACCTCCTTGTCCCTGACCCGACAGGAAGGGCCGGTGGGGTGACGAGGATGACTTTGAAGATGAAGAAGAGGAGGAGGAGGAAGAGGAGGACTACGATGAGGAAGAGGAGGGCGAGGAGATGCCGGAGGAAGGCCTCGGGGATCTACCTGGGGGTCCGGTCCGCTCTGGCCCAGTTCTCCTCCGCAAGCAGCCTGCCCCACAGCCCTTCCGCGGTGAGCCCTCCCCCCGGACAGCGGGGCTCTCCTCCGAACGCCTGCCCTCCGGAGCAGCCCCCCAGGCCTTGGCCCAGCCCCAGCCCCCCGTCCTGGACCATGGAGACTGGACCTACGAGGAGCAGTTCAAGCAGGTAGGCCGGGCCTTTATGAAAGAATGTGTATATGGATGTGTATATATTGCAAGCCTTCTTTTTTCCCAAACCCCTGGGACCCAAAGTATTTGGAGTGTTGGAGAGAGAGAGAGAGAGAGAGAGAGAGAGAGAAGTATGGGCAAACCCAGACCCGGGAGCCAGATGCAGCCCCTTGGGCTCTTTTCTCAAGCCCTCACCATCCTATCCTTCCTTCTCTCTTTCCTTCCTCCTTCCCTCCATCTTTCTCCTTCTCTTGCACCATTTCCATCCTTCCTTCTTCTCTCTCTTCCTCTTTCTCCTTCCTTCCTTCCTTCCTTCCTTCCTTCCTTCTTTCCTTCTGTTCGTCTTTCTTTCCTTCTCTTTTCTCCCTCCCCTCCCACCCTTTCATTCTTCCTTCCCTCTCTCTTTCTCCTTCCTTCCTTCCGTCCGTCCATCCGTCCATCTTTCCTTCCTTCTCTCTTTTCTCCCTTCCCTCCCACTTCCTCCCACTTCCTCTCTCCCTCCATTCCCTTCCATTCCCTTCCACCCTTTCATTCTTCCTTCTCTTTCCTTCCCCCACTTCCTTCCTTATTTCCTTCCTTCCTTCCATCCATCCATCCCTTCCACCCTTTTCTCCTTCCCTCCTTCCCTCCCTTTTGTCCTTCCTTCCTTCTCTCTTTCTTTCCTCTCTTCCTCCTCCCTTCCCTCCTTCTTTCCCTTCTCCACCCTTCCTTCTTTCCTTCCCTCTTCCCTCCTCTCTCTCTTTCTCCTTCCTTCCTTCCTTCCTTCCTTCCTTCCTTCCTTCCTTCTTTCCTTTTTTCCTTCCTTCCTTCCTTCCTTCCTTCCTTCCTTCCTTCCTTCCTTCCTTCCTTCCTTCTTTCCTTCCCTTTTGTCTTTCTTTCCTTCTCTCTGTCCCTTATCCTTTCCTTCCTTCCATCCTTCCCTTCCACCCTTTCATCCTTCCTTCCCTTTTGTCTTTCCTTCCTTCTCTCTTTCCTCCCTACTTCCCCCTCTCTCTTTCTCCTTCATCCTTTCTTTCATCCTTGCCTTCCACCCTTCATTCTTCCTTCCTTCTCTCATTACTTTATCCCTCCCTTCTTTCCTTCCATCTTTCTCTTCCTCCCTCCCTTCCTCTGTTCCTTCTCTTTTGTCTTTCCTTCTTTCCCTCATTCCGCCTCCTTCCCTCTTTCCTTCTTTCTTCTTCCATCCTTCCCTTCTTCCCTTCCGTCCTTCCTTCCTTCCATCACTGGACAGCCAGTCCTCCTAGCAGGGAGTGCTGGCGTGCAGCCCCCAAGTTAGAAAATTTGCCCACGCCTGCCATATATACATACACTATCATTGTATGCAGTAGTTTTCAATACAAAATTGTGCGCGAAGGTTTGTGTGCATTGAAGCATCCTGCTGCAAAGGGGGAATAATATTCTATCAGCTTGGAAAGGCTTTTAAACCGAGGTTAGGTGGGCATCTTTGAGGAGAGCTTTGGCAGTATCTTCCTGGCCAAATGGGGGTGGACTGGATGGCCTCTGGAGGTCCCATTCCAATGCTGGCATTCTATTCTTCCTGCCGGCTTTTTATCACAGGAAGGGAGGAAGCGCATTTCCTCCTCATTGAGTCAGGAAGGGGCCATAAAGCGATTGGAAGGAAACATCAAAGACGGGCTCGGGGGTAAATACATTGGGAATTCGGAGAGGAATCCCCCCCTTAAAATGGGACCCAGATGGAGGGGAAAGGGTGTTTCTCAGGGTCTTTGTACATTTACTGTACAATCCATGCTGTTTGACCCCACTTTTAATCCTTTGGGAGTTGTAGTTTTACATGGACTTTAACTTTCTCTGCTCAAACATCCTGGGGCCGTCCCCAAACTACAAATTCCAGGATTCCATAGCATTGATCTGTGAAAGTTAAACTGCATTCGTTGTGTAGCGTAGAGGCACTACATTCGATTACATTGCAGGTTTCCAGCAAACTTTTGGTGATATTCAGGTTCCTGGTGAACGTTCAGTAGTGTTCTAGATTGCTAGTGAACATTTGGCGACATCATAGGTTCCCAGAGAATGTTCTGTGACATCATGGATTCCTGGTGAACATTCCATAACCTCATACATTTCTGGTGAACATTTGGTGACATCATAGTTTCTAGTGAACATTTAGTGACATCATAGATTCCCGATGAACATTGAGCAATGTTATAGATTCCCAGTGAACATTTGAGGACATCATAGATTCTTGGTAAACATTCAGCAACATCATGGATTTCTGGTGAACATTCAGTGGTGTTACAGATTTCTAGTGAACATTTGGTGACATGGATTCTTGGTAAACATTGAGTTATGTTATAGATTCCAGGTGAACATTTGATGACATCATGGATTCCTGATGAACATTGAGTGATGTTATAGATTCCCGGTGAATATTTGGTAACATTATAGATTCCTGGTGAATATGTGGTGACATCATAGATTTTCTGGTGGACATTGAATGATATTATAGATGCCTGGTAAACATTTGGTAACATCATAGATTCCTGCTGAATATTTGGTGACATGACAAATTCCCGGAGAACATTGAGTGATATTATAGATTCCCAGTGAACATTTGGTAACATCATAGATTCCTGGTGAATATGTGGTGACATCATAGATTTCCTGGTGGACATTGTGTGATGTTATAGATTCCCGGTAAACATTTGGTAACATCATAAGATTCCCTGTGAACATTTGATGACATCACAGATTCCCAGTGAACATTGAGTGATGTTATAGATTCCCGGTGAATATTTGGTAACATCATAAGATTCCCTGTGAACATTTGATGACATCACAGATTCCCGGTGAACATTGAGTGATGTTATAGATTCCCGGTGAATATTTGGTAACATCATAGATTCCTGGTGAATATGTGGTGACATCATAGATTTCCTGGTGGACATTGTGTGATGTTATAGATTCCCTGTGAACATTTGGTGACATTACAGATTCCTGGTGAACATTGAGTGATGTTATAGATTCCCAGTGAATATTTGGTAACATCATAGATTCCTGGTGAACATTTGGTAACATCATAGATTCCTGGTGAATATTTGGTGACATGACAGATTCCCGGTGAACATTGAGTGATATTACAGATTCCTGGTGAACATTTGGTAACATCATAGATTCCTGGTGAATATGTGGTGACATCATAGATTTCCTGATGGACATTGAGTGATGTTATAGATTCCCGGTGAACATTTGGTAGCATCATAGATTCCTGGTGAATATTTGGTGACATCATAAGATTCCCAGTGAACATTTGGTGATATCACAAATTCCTGGTGAAGTTTCAGTGACATCATATATACCTGGTGTACATTCAGTGACATTTTAATTCCTGGTGCGCATGTGGCAACCTCCTCTCAGGCCTCCTTGCCAAGTCGGAGTTGGGTGCTGGGTGTTGCCACTTCCTTGAAGGGTGAAGGAGAAGTCACTTGGCTCCCGTCTGAGCCAGCCGGCCTGTGCCCTCCTCCTCCTCTCTGCCGCCGTGTTTACATTCCTGGCTGCCGCCTGGCCTCACCTTCCACGCCGGGCTTGCCAAGGCGGCTGGCACCAGGTCAAGCAGGCCTGGGATGGCTGGCACCCGTCCAAGGGAGCTCCCAGCCGGAGCAGCCCTGGCAGCCACCCAAAGGGGAACATGTCGGAAATGCGGAAGCCGCCCTTTTTGACTCAGGCTTCCCCTTTCTTTCTTGCCTTTGCAGAGAAGGCAGGGTTGGGCAAGAAACGGCAGAAATCTTAATATGCCGGTAAATTTGTGAGAGCTTCTTGCACCAGAGAAGGAAGTCTACTTGCCTGGCCGAATGGGGTCAGACTAGATGACCTTCTGGCTCCCTTAAAGGCCTTTTGAGTAAACATTCAGCTGTCGATGTCACTTTCTTTGCAAATATCGATCCACCAGCCAACCAAGCGGATCATCTCATTCTCTTTCGGAAAAGGGAGAGTCCCGGCCGGCTTTTCCGCCAGGTTTTTCGGGTTCTTTCCCTGCCTTATTTTCAAACCCTCTTGGGACTGTCACTCCCATCATCCCCAGCCAGCATTCTGGGATTGGTAGTGCCCCAAAAGGCCCCTTTCTTTCCTTCCTTTTCCTCCCATCAAGGTATAAGGCAGGCTATGCCTCTCTTTCTTTCTCCCGAAACATGGGATTAGGGCTCAGACATCTTATTGCAATTAGCGGATTAACAAGCTTTGCTTCCCTGACGGAGAAATGCCTGGTTAATTAAATGGCTGAGAGAGGGATCAAGGGCTGCCATGGATTCCCTTTTAAGTGCTGCAGTTGGAGCCCTGGGCTCAAATAATTATCCAGTCTTCTTATAATTATAATTATTTTTATTTTTATTAGGGTTTGAATCCTTGTGCAGTCATCATCTTGTTATTATTATTATTATTATTAGGGTTCAAATTCTCTTCCTATTATTATTATTATTATTATTATTATTATTAGGGTTCAAATCCTTGTGCAATCATCATCATCATAATATTATTATTATTACTACTACTACTACTACTACTATTATTCAAATTTGTGTGCAGTTGTCGTCATCATCATCATGATATTATTATTATTATTATTATTATTATTATTATTATTATTATTATTAGGGTTCAAATCCTTGTGCAGTTGTCATCATCATATTATTCTTTCTCTTATTGTTATTATTAGAGTTTGAATCCTTGTGCAGTCATCCTGTTATTATTATTATTATCATTCAAATCCTTGTGCAGTTTATGATGATGATGATTAGGGTTCAAATCCTTGTGCAGTTGTCGTCATCATCATATTATTCTTACTCTTATTATTATTATTATGGTTTGAATCCTTGTGCAGTCATCCTATTATTATTATTATTATTATTGCCATTATTATTAGGGTTCAGATCTTTGTGCAGTCACATTATTATTATTATTATTATTATTATTATTATTATTATTATTAGGGTTCAAATTCTCTTCCTATTATTATTATTAGGGTTCAGATCCTTGTGCAATCATCATCATATTTATTATTATTATTATTATTATTATTATTATTATTATTATTAGGGTTCAAATCCTTGTGCAGTTGTCATCATCATCATATTATTCTTATTCATAGAATCATAGAATCAAAGAGTTGGAAGAGACCTCATGGACCATCCAGTCCAACCCCCTGCCAAGAAGCAGGAATATTGCATTCAAATCACCCCTGACAGATGGCCATCCAGCCTCTGCTTAAAAGCTTCCAAAGAAGGAGCCTCCACCACACTCCGGGGCAGAGAGTTCCACTGCTGAACGGCTCTCACAGTCAGGAAGTTCTTCCTAATGTTCAGATGGAATCTCCTCTCCTCTTCTTATTATTAGGGTTTGAATCCTTGTGCAGGCATTCTATTATTATTATTATTATTATTATTATTATTATTATTATTATTATTAGGGTTCAAAGCCTAGTCTGGAAAATCATCCTCTTCTTTGAATTCAAATATTTCCCTGACCGTTATTATTAATTTTATTATTATTATTATTATTATTATTATTATTATTATTATTATCATCAGGGTTCGAAGCCTTGTCCGGAAATCATCCTCTTCTTTGAATTCAAATCTTTGCCTGACTATTATTATTATTATTATTATTATTATTATTGGAATATTTTCAAGCTGAGGACAGTGGGATGCCAAAAGAAGCATGTGCGAAACCCATTGCGTTGCTAATCTGCGACCCTAAAGATAAAAATGCCCATTAAATAACAATTTGGAGACCCGGCTTAGAAACCTTGTTGAATTATTATTATTATTATTATTATTATTATTATTATTATTATTATTATTATTTGAACATTTTCAAGTTGTGGATGACAGGATGCCTAAAGCAGCAGGTCCAAAACACATTTTGGGGGAATTTTTTCCTACTTGCAAAAGGTTTGCTGGCTTTGAATTCTGCAAAAAATAAGCATTGCTGAAAAATTGCACAGCTGTCCGTTTCGATCTCGAACGGCAGAAGAGGAAGTGAGAGTCGAAACGGCAACTTTCTCGGTCCATATATAGATGCGATTTGATTTTTTTGACAAACAGAAGGCTGCTTAGAATCATACGGGGTCCCCAAAGGACATCTAGTCCACCCCCATTCATCTAGGCAGTGAGGCACACAAAAAGCACTCCCAAATGAGGCCTGTGCGACTTACAAAGACGGAGAGACACCCTATTCCACTAGGAAGGGGTCCCCCAAAAGCTATCTAGTCTGACCTTATTCAGCTAGACGGCGGATGCACAACTCAAGCACCCAAATGAGGCCCATGCGGCCTACAAAGACGGAGAGACATCCTATTATGCTAGCATTGGAAGGGGTCCCCCAAAGGCTATCTAGTCTGATTTCATTCAGCTAAACAGGGGATGTATAATGTATTGTCGAAGGTTTTCATGGCCGGAATCACTGGGTTGTTGTAGGTTTTTCAGGCTATATGGCCATGTTCTAGAGGCATTTTCTCCTGACGTTTCGCCTGCAACTATGGCAAGCATCCTCAGAGGTAGTGAGGTCTATTGGAACTAGGAAAATGGGTTTATATGTCTGTGGAATGACCAGGGTGGGACAAAGAACTCTTGTCTGTTGGAGCTAGGTGTGAATGTTTTCAACTGACCACTTTGATTAGCATTTGATGGCTTGGCAGTGCCTGGGGCAATACAGCAGAGGGAAAACAATCAGTCACATCTAATCACCTCTCACAACAAAAGATTGCCCCAGGCACTGTCAGGCCATCAAATGCTAATCAAGGTGGTCAGTTGAAACATTCACACCTAGCTCCAGCAGACACGAGTTCTTTGTCCCACCCTGGTCATTCCACAGATATATAAACCCTTTTTCCTAGTTCCAACAGACCTCACTACCTCTGAGGATGTTTGCCATAGATGCAGGCGAAACGTCAGGAGAAAATGCCTCTAGAACATGGCCATATAACCCGAAAAAACCTACAACAATCCAGGAGATGTATAGCTCAAGCACTCCCAAAATTAGGCCCATGCGACCTACAAAGATGGAGAGACATCCTATTCCACTGGCATTGGAAGGGGTCCTCCAAAGGCTATTTAGTCTGACCTCATTTAGCTATACAGGGGATGCACAACTCAAGCACTCCCAAATGAGGCCCATCTAACCAAAGACAGAGAGGCATCCTATTCTAATAGCATTGGAAGAGGTCCCCAAAGGGCATCTAGTCCAACCTCATTCAGCCACAACTCAAGCACTCCCAAAAGAGGCCCATCTAACCAAAGACAGAAAGGTATCCTATTCTGCTAGAGTTGGAAGGGTCCCCAAAAGGTCATCTAGTCTGGCCCCTTTTGGGACAGGCAAGGAGCCCACAATGAAAGCCCTTCTGAAATGAACCCAAAGCAGCCTCCCCCCCCCCCCACTGAAAAGGGGGTTGCAGAGTCATGCGCTCCCCTCTTTTGCCCTGCAGTCAAAGATCAAAGGGTTTCTGTGGGGCTTTTTTGTGTGTCATGCACCCCATTTCTCTGAACAGACAAAGGATGGCATTTGAGCCACTGTCTGCACGCCCTGGGCGACAACCCATGTGCTTTCCTCGTGCCAGAAAGACAAGTCGAAAAGCAATCCATCCTGTTCAATGCATGTCTTCTGTTGTTATTATTATTATTATTATTATTATTATTATTATTATTATTGCCAGCTATTAATGGCAGGAATTTTCCCTGCTTTGGCCACCTGCTTGGCAAACTAGTCAACAACCTGAAATTCAGGCCTTTTCTGACACCGTTGGGCTTTCTGGGCCGTTTCCTTCTTTTGAGGCTGAGAGAGTGTGACCAATTGGAGGTCCTTGATATAGCACATGTAATATAATAAATACAATACATCTATGTGTGTGTGTTACATACTTAGGCAATCCTTTGTAGCTTGAGGAGAATGGTCCTCCAAGTGTAGTGAATATGTAGGTGACCGTGGAGACCTATTCTTGACCCAGATGTTCTCCCACCGTTAGGACATCGGTTTCCAGGTGGAAGGCAGTCCCGGTCAGGGTTGGCTTGACGCGCCTTCTTCCTCTTGGCATGTTTCCCACTTTTGCCCTCCATTCGTGCCTCTCTGAATTCTGCATAACTGCTGGTCACAGCTGACCTCCAGTTAGAGTTCTCAAGTGTCAGGGTTTCCCAGTTCTCGGTGTCTATGCCACGGTTTTTAAGGTTGGCTTTCAGCACATCTTTCAATCTCTTTTCCTGTCCACCAACATTACGTTTCCCATTCTTGAGTTGGGAGTAGAGTAACTGCTTTGAGAGACGGTGATCGGGCATTTGGACAACGTTTATGTTTTGTGTATGTGTGTGTATATAGGTATATATAAAAGAGCCCCCGGTGGCGCAGTGGGTTAATGCACTGAGCTGATGAGCTTGTTGATCGAAAGGTCGCAGGTTTGATTCCGGGGAGCGGCGTGAGCTTCCGCTGTCAGCCCTAGCTTCTGCCAACCTAGCAGTTTGAAAACATGCAAATGTGAGTAGATCAATAGGTACCGCTCCGGCGGGAAGGTAAGGGCGCTCCATGCAGTCATGCCGGCCACATGACCTTGGAGGTGTCTATGGACAACGCTGGCTCTTCGGCTTAGAAATGGAGATGAGCACCACACCCCAGAGTCAGACAAGACTGGACTTAATGTCAGGGGACTACCTTTACCTATACATAAAAATACATTTTTAAGATATATATACACACGCACATATATATTTCTTACATATATGTGTCCATTTTATATGTGTGTGTTTGTGTGTACATACATACATAGATATTTGATAGGCGAAGTTCTAATAACATCATCCTCTTTCCCGCAGCTTTATGAACTCGACGCAGACCCCAAGCGGAAGGAATTCTTGGACGACCTCTTCAGCTTCATGCAGAAGCGAGGTGAGCCAAAAAAAAAACAAACCCCACTCGATTTGTGTGTTTTGGGCACTTTTTTCCAGGGACGATGGGCCTTGTTACTCTCTCTTTTTTATCTGGGAATGATGGGCCCTGGAAGGAAAGACCCACTGAGGCATTGGGTCCCTCTTTTACATGCATTTTGGGGTCCCTCTTTCAGATATATCGGACACCGTCTTTGGATTTGTTGGATCCCCTTTTTGGAGGCATTATGGGGTGCCCTAAATGCACTTTATCAACGATCTAGGATTGTCTGCACCCCCCTTTCCTCTCCGAAATTCTATCCTAATTATATATTTCACCTGGTCATGATCAGCATTATTTTTTTAAAAAATTAATTATTACATTTGGCCCAGCCATAGGTTTTTAATGTGTTGTTGTGCTATTGTTAATGTTTACTGCTGTTTTTTTATGAGTTTCATTTTATTGTTTTGTATTGCTGCTGTTGTTGTTTTTGCTGATGTATTGTGGGCTCGGCCTCATGTAAGCCGCACCGAGTCTCTTGGGGAGATGGTAGTGGGGTACAAATAAAGTTGTTATTATTATTATTATTATTATTATTATTATTATTATTATTATTATTATTATTCAGATTTATTGGGCTCCCTTATTTGGTAGGTTCTTGTAGGTTTTTTCGGGCTATAGGGCCATGTTCTAGAGGCATAGGTGGTTCCTATGTAGACTTGTCCACAGCTGCATGGTACACCAAACGCAGCATTGCCCAAACACGGATCAAGGAACATGAAAGGCACTGCAGACTACTTCAACCAGAGAAGTCAGCCATAGCAGAGCACCTGATGAACCAACCTGGACACAGCATATTATTTGAGAACACAGAAATGCTGGACTACTCCAACAACCACCATGTCAGACTACACAGAGAAGCCATTGAAATCCACAAGCATGTGGACAATTTCAACAGAAAGGAGGAGACCATGAAAATGAACAAAATCTGGCTACCAGTATTAAAAAACTCCAAAATTACTACAGCAAAACAGCAGAGAGGAAACAACCAGGCACATCTTAACACCTCTCAACAGAACATTTTCCCAGGCTCAGCCAGGCCTTCAAATGCTAATGAAGGTGGTCAGTTGAAACATTCACACCTAGCTCCAGCAGAGAAGAGCTCTTTGCCCCACCCCAGCCATTCCACAGATATATAAACCCATTTTCCTAATTCCAACAGACCTCACTACCTCTGAGGATGCTTGCCATAGATGCAGGCGAAACGTCAGGAGAAATGCCTCTAGAACATGGCCCTATAGCCCGAAAAAAACCTACAAGAACCTAGTGATTCCAGCCATGAAAGCCTTCGACAATCCCTTATTTGGATTTATTATTTATTATTATTATTTACTTCACTTGTATACCGCTCTTCTCAGCCATCAGGCGACTCAGAGCGGTTAACAACCAGTATCAACAATACAGTACAAAATCATTAGTCATTTAAAACAGTAATATCAACTAATTAACATCAAAATATCAATACAACAATACAGCAAAACAACAATCCATCACGTCTCATCAATAGAATCAGCATCCGATCTCGTTGTCCATTAATCCACATTCCAGTAATCAATCAATTCAATCAATTGCACTGCTTAGTTGAAAGCCTGTTCGAAGAGCCAGGTCTTCACTCTCTTCCGGAATGCCAATAAGGAGGGGGCCGATCTAATGTCTGTAGGAAAGGCGTTCCACAGCCAGGGGGCCACTACCGAGAAGGCCCTGTCTCTCGTCCCCGCCAGGCGTGCTTGTGAAGCCGAGAGCAGGGCCTCCCCAGACGATCTTAACGTCCTAACTGGTTCATAGGAGGAGATGCGTTCGGACAGATAGGTCGGGCCAGAACCGTTTAGGCCGGGCTTTAAAGGCTAAAGCCAGCACTTTGAATTGTGCCCGGTAACAAATTGGCAGCCAGTGGAGCTGGCGCAACAGAGGAGTTGTATGCTCCCTGAGTGCCGCTCCTGTTAGCATCCTGGCTGCCGATCGTTGGACCATTTGAAGCTTCCGAGCAGTCTTCAGAGGCAACCCCACGTAGAGAGCGTTGCAGTAGTCTATACGGGATGTAACCAGAGCGTGGACTACCGTGGCCAAGTCAGACTTCCCAAGGTACGGATGCAGCTGGCGCACAAGTTTTAGTTGTGCGAATGCTCCCCTTTGGTATTCATTGGGTGCCTTTTGCAGATGTGTTATTTTCTTTTCTCAAATCCACCGGTACCATCTTTGGATTCGTTGGGTCCCTTTTTTCATAGGCATTATGGGGCATCTTTTTCAGACTCATTGGGCACCTTTCTTAGATGCATCAAGTGCCTTTTTCAGATGTGTGATTAGGTGATCCCTCATAGCCCAAGGATGATGGTCCTCCAAGTGTAGTGGGTCTGTACGTGACTGTGGAGCCCTATTCTTGATCCGCATGTTCTCCCGTAGTGAGGGTATTGGTTTCCAGGTGGAAGGCGGTCCCGGTCAGGGTTAGCTTGACGCGCCTCCTTCCTCTTGGCACCTTTCTCACCCTCCATTCGTGCCTCTTCAAATTCCACAGCACTGCTGGTCACAGTTGACCTCCAGTTGGAACACTCAAAGGCCAGGGCTTTCCGGTTCTCTCTCAGTGTCTATGCCACAGTTTTTAAGGTCGGCTTTAAGCCCTCCTTTCGATCTCTTTTCCTGTCCACCAACATTACGTTTCCTGTTCTTGAGTTAGGAGTATAGCAACTGCTTTGGGAGATGCTGATCGGGCATTCAGACAATGTGGCCAGTTCAGAGTTGGTGGTGTAGGAGCATTGCTTCAATGCTAGTGGTCTTTGCTTCTTCCAGCAAGCTGACATTTGTCTGCCTGTCTTCCCAAGAGATTTAATAATAATAACAATAATAATAATAACACTTTATTTGTACCCCGCTACCATCTTCCCAAGGGACTCAGTGCGGCTTACATGAGGCCGAGTCCAAACACAACAATACAAGCAAATTAAAAATAAAACATGGACAATAAAATAAAATACATTAACACTAAGACAACACACAATTAAAACTGTGGGAAGGCCAAATGTAAAATTAAAATTGAAAATAATGCTGGAACAAGTGCGAAAAAGTGATGGGGCGTTTGTGGAAAACATACAAGCAGACCTAAAAAATGTAAAGTGCTTTGGAGGACAAGGTGCTATGGAATCATTATTCTGGGAAGGCACACTGGGACAACCACATCTTCAAGCTCCTCCTAAAGACTGCCAGACTTGGGGCCTGTCTGATGTCCTTAGGGAGTGAGTTCCAGAGTCGAGGGGCCACCACCGAAAAGGCCCTCTCTCTCGTCCCCACCAATCGCGCCTGCGATGCAAGTGGGATCGAGAGCAGGGTCTCTCCAGATGATCGAAGAGATCGTGTGGGTTTGTATACAGAGATGCGGTCACGCAGGTAGGTGGGTCCCAAACCGTTCAGGGCTTTGTAGGTAAGAACCTGCACCTTGAATTTGGTCCAGAAAATGAATGGCAACCAGTGGAGCTCCTTGAACAGGAGGGTTGACCGCTCCCTGTAAGGAGCCTCAGTTAACAACCTGGCTGCCACCCGTTGGACCATCTGGAATTTCTGAGCCGTTTTCAAGGGCGGCCCCACGTAGAGTGCATTACAGTAATCCAGTCTAGAGGTGACTAAGGCATGGACCACCCTGGCCAGATCCGCCTTCACAAGGTACGGGAAGGATTTTTCGGAGGCAGCACTGATGTTGAGTGTGACGTCTGTAGACAGTCCATGTTTCATATTGTATTGGGCTCCTTTTTTTGGATTAATTATGCATCTCTTTGGGCTTCATTGGGTGCCTTTTTCAGATATGTGTTTTTCCTTTCTCAATTGCACCAGACACCTTTTGTGGATTGTTCACCTTTCCCAGATGCACCGGAAGCCTTTTTTGGAGACCTTTAGGGGTCACCTTTTGGGGATGTGTTGGGTGCTTTTCCCTGATGCCTCAAAGGATTATATTATCAATGTATTGTCGAAGGCTTTCATGGCTGGAATCACTAGGTTCTTGTAGGTTTTTTTCGGGCTGTATGGCCATGTTCTAGAGGCATTTCTCCTGACGTTTCGCCTGCATCTATGGCAAGCATCCTCAGAGGTAGTGAGGTCTGTTGGAAATAGGAAAGGAGGAGACCATGAAAATGAACAAAATCTGGCTACCAGTATTAAAAAACTCTAAAATTACTACAGCAAAACAGCAGAGAGGAAACAACCAGGCACATCTTAACACCTCTCAACAGAACATTTTCCCAGGCTCAGCCAGGCCTTCAAATGCTAATGAAGGTGGTCAGCTGAAACATTCACACCTAGCTTCAGCAGAGAGCTCTTTGCCCCACCCCAGTCATTCCGCAGATATATAAACCCATTTTCCTATTTCCAACAGACCTCACTACCTCTGAGGATGCTTGCCATAGATGCAGGCGAAACGTCAGGAGAAATGCCTCTAGAACATGGCCCTACAGTCCGAAAAAACCTACAAGAACCTAGTGATTATATTATTCTTTCTTTGGGGAATCCAGGAATCCCCTTTAACACAAGCCTTTTCCCTCTAAGGAAAAAGAGAGGAGGGAAAGACACACAACCAATGTCTTTTTCCCAACTGAATTGTCAACATGTTTTCGAGGCAGGAAAGAAACTGACCGTAAACCCTTATGGTTCAAATTCCTGGCTGCTCAGCTAAACCCCAAGGAATGAAGGGTGGGGAGGGGGAGATGTCATGGCTTTTGGGATTTGTAGACCCAACAGCTGCCTCCGGATGCTGCAAATATCCTCCAGACTATGTGTGTATGTATATATGTGTGTGTATATATATAAATTGGCTTTATTTTTATCCCTGCTTCACATTGTTTCCGGATTGATTTCTGCCCCACAAATGAACAATTGGCCATTCTTTGGGGCCCCGAATCCTACATCAATTGCTTTGCGGCATTGGGCTCTTTGAAATAGAATTATTTGGGGTGGGTCACACTCTCTCAGCCCCCCACAAA